TTTTTTTTTTGTCTTTTGTCTTTTTCTGTGTCCGGCAACGGATCGCAACCCTCGGCCGGCGTCGCCCCCTCGCCTTGCTCAGCCAGTGAGTGGGAACCTGTCTGCATGTGGGATCCGAACCCTCGGGCGGGAGCGCCGCCGCACTTCCCAAGTGGCGCACTATCCAGTGCGCCACCGGGCCGGCCCGAAATACTTTTTTAAAAAGTGAAAACTCTGCTATACAGAGGTCCAGGCTGAATTGGGTGATTTACAAGTGATTTATATGCATGACGTGAACCACACTAAAGGTATGCCACATATGAAGATGATCACACGCCAGTAAGAGAATAAACAAGTAGGATTAAAACTACTTTTAGAAAGAGAAGAAAGCTGTGCATCTATATTACCCCAGACACGTATTCACAGATCCACGTGGGAGATTTTTTCTAATACATGGAATAAATAGCTTCATAAACGTGGTCCTATAGAACAAAACAAAAATGCTCATTTTATTCTTAGGAAAAATACAGTCAAGTTAAATTTACATTTATGTGTAAATTGAGACACCTTCCTTATTATTCATAAGAACACACATAGATACACACACATATCTTAATGTGTAATTTTGTTTGAATTGATATATTAATAAAATAGCTTATAAAGTAATCAATAAATAGTTTAAATATGTGTTAATATATTTTTTGGTTGGCCGAAGAAATACATTTCTGCTTAAGAAGTCCCTCCTCTCTTCCTTTTTTTTTCTCTCTCTCTCTCTCTCTCTCTCACTCTGTTTTAGAAAATCAATGGAAAATATACACAAATATTTACTAAAAAGAGTCAGGGAAAAATGGGAATTAGGCAGATAGGAGGAAGTACAGTGAAAGGAAAAATATGCGAATACATTTTGAAAAATATACTAATAATCTGCTAAAGGAATTTCTTACAAAACACATATTGCTGCCATATACATGAGAAATATCAACTAAATCACAGTTGTAACTTTTTCTTTCCTAATGTTTCTGGGACAAGGCAATTGTGGGAGGTTAATGATTATATTTGGACTCTACAAATCTTCTATTAAAATTTTATATTTAGAACATAGTGACAGTCTGATCACGAAAAATTACTTGTATTTCCAAACCAAAAAATAATTAAGATCTACCCCAATCTTTACACTTAACTTGTTCTACTGCATGAACATGAGGGATAGTAGTTTGCTTTTTTATGATATGCATTGAAGTATATTTTAGTAAACTACAGTTTTGTTTATATGTGAAATATATATACATATAAAATGTGACTTGCAATTTTTACATACATAAAAATAAATATGGATTTATAAAATTATTGTTTTAATAAGATGTTTTAATCTAGCAATTAATGGGCTCCAAAACACAGGTTAATTTGTTTTTTAAGTTTTGCATATTATATTTGTTATATGACACTAAATTTACATACTAAAATACCCTTCTGTTAAGATTAAGTTCAGTGACTCCCAACATTCTGTCATATAAGAAACTTTTAATTTATTCATCCATTTATTTTTGGTGGCTGGCCAGTATAGAGATTGAAGCCTGGAACATTGGTTTTATCAGCACCACACTTTAACCAACTGAGCTAACAAGCCAGCCCTAAGAAATTTAAAAATATATTTCTGTCACTGTATTTTGCTCATGGGCATATCAGTAAAATAATTGTATGTTTACTTAAATTATTCTGATGTTCTCGCTAATATCATTTTCTAGTAAACTTTGATATCTCTGATATTGACTGTAGAACAAGAAGGCAGTTTATGAATTAAGGAAAATTTCCTCCAAATCATGTCCCATTAGAACATCTACCTTCTTCACTCTGGGAACTGCAGACATGATAGGGAACAAGTATGACGTTTAGCTACTTCATTTGGGCTGCACTTCAAATGGGCATTTCTGCTAACTAATATTTAAAGATATCAGAAACAGTTGTGTTTGTGTCTACCTAATCTGACTTAAGAGATAAAGGCTAAAAATACACAAGTATGCATTCGAAAATTTTAACTAAAGTGTGATCACTCTGGAAAACTAAAACTAAAAATCAGAATTTCAGCTCTCATAGTCAAAGACATAAAGTATCAGACTCTCATGAGAACAGTGTTAGAAACACTAAGCTCAAGAAGAAAGTTAGGACAGTAGCTACCGCATGTTAATTAGCTGCCATGAGAGGTCAGACATTTTGGGTACATTATCTTATATAACCTAGATAGTAAACTGACAACTAAATAATTCAGCATTCTTTTATACACAAGAAAACTGAGGCCCAGATAGACTTATAAATTCACCAAAATCACACAGTTAGTTACTAGAAGAGCCAGCATTCAAGCCTATATTTCTGATTCCACACTCCACACAATTTCTACTGTGCCATTTTGCAACCTCATTATGACATACAATAATTTTGGGAATGTTATCCCCTAGAAACAATACAAGATAGCATCCTTGTGTAGTTGAATTATTTAAAGATATTAAGCTTAGATAGACTATGAAATACTTTTAAAAAAATAAATAAAGANCAGCTCTCATAGTCAAAGACATAAAGTATCAGACTCTCATGAGAACAGTGTTAGAAACACTAAGCTCAAGAAGAAAGTTAGGACAGTAGCTACCGCATGTTAATTAGCTGCCATGAGAGGTCAGACATTTTGGGTACATTATCTTATATAACCTAGATAGTAAACTGACAACTAAATAATTCAGCATTCTTTTATACACAAGAAAACTGAGGCCCAGATAGACTTATAAATTCACCAAAATCACACAGTTAGTTACTAGAAGAGCCAGCATTCAAGCCTATATTTCTGATTCCACACTCCACACAATTTCTACTGTGCCATTTTGCAACCTCATTATGACATACAATAATTTTGGGAATGTTATCCCCTAGAAACAATACAAGATAGCATCCTTGTGTAGTTGAATTATTTAAAGATATTAAGCTTAGATAGACTATGAAATACTTTTTTTAAAAAAATAAATAAATAAAGTTGCTTATAAATAAAT